GATACCATTAATATTCTGGCTTATAAACTAAGCCCCCAATTGGTCCCCATTTCTTGAAATGAAAATGGGTGGAGTAATATTTTTTTGAAAAATGAATAGTTGAAAAAAAAATTTCGATTTACATGTAATATTATTTTATGAAAGATTGTGTGATTGAAAATATGATAGAGAAAAATGAAATAGAATTTAACAAGGGCTAAGCCCCCGTTTGAGCCTATTATTTTTTATTACATTAAATTAAATTTCTCTCTCTTCTACTTTTAACCACACAATCTTCAATAAAATAATATTACACATAAATAAAAAACTTTTCAACCATTCATTTTTCAAAAAAAACACTATTCATCTCATTATAATCTACAAATAATGGAGCTCAAACGGCCCCTAAGTTAAAATTAAATATTAATTTCAATTATACATTTATAATTACTGTTTAATACCGTTCACATATTTCATTACTATTTTACTTGATAAACTGATAAATAGATTTAACTAATATTAGATATATACCTATTAACTAGTTTTGATCCAGTTTTAGTTACAATTAACTAAAATCTATCTAATTTTTTTCATTTTAAATTAAAATAAACTTCTCAGTAAAAATATTATCGCGTGTTGCGAATGAAATAGCAATTAGAATACAATCAATCCAGAAAAATAAGATGGAATCATAACTAGAGTGATCAGCTTGTGTTCCACTTTATTCCCCATTCAAGACATAAATGTTAACGAATCAGATCCTACCGCAAGAAATAGAGTAACAATATCCTGTATGAATAAAGAATAACGAGCAAAATGGTTGAAAAAAATTTAGCCCCTTTTTGGTCCCATTATTTGTTATTATAATTGTTGGAATAGTATTGTTTTGGAGCATGTGCTGTCGAAAAAAAAAAAAGAAGAAGAAGAAATTTACAATTTACGTGTAATATTATTTTATGAAAAATTTTATAGTTGAAAATAAGAGAAAAAAATTATAATGTAAAATAATAGGCACTTAAATTGTTTTACACACTACATTTTTTTTCAAAACTTATCCCTAATAAACAATTAAATCCCTGAATATAGCTAATGCTTGATCGTTAAGCTTTATGCGTAGTCTTGGTGTTTATTTACATACCCATTGTTAGAATCTGTTCAATAGTGATTATGAGAATTAATTTATTGACCATCTGAGAGAAAAGTGGATTTCATATGTGAGTGAAGAAGGTAAAAATGACGACTGAAATAGTGAAAAATCAATTTTTGTGATGAAAAATTGCTACCAATCGGGCACTATTTCAATCGTCATTTTTTACTTTTTCATTCACATGTGGGACCAATTTTTCTCTCTAACGATCAAAAAATCAATTCTCGTTATAACTACCAAACAAACAAATTTGATTTCACGTTCGAGAAAAAACATTGATTAGCTCATTTCTTTTAAATTTTTATTCAGTGTGCATTTGATATCTTCTGTTTGAACTTGGATAAATTGTCCTATATTTTGTAGGCAACTCACATAATTAAGTAGTTTTTCATATAAAATTTTGATATCTTCACATTTTACAATTTTAAAATTCAACTCTCTCTCCTAAATAATAATTAAAGCATTGAAAAATTGTCCTTTCTTCTTACGAATTTAAGTACGGAAGATGCACCATAAAGAGCGATATTCATCTAATAAATTTGAGTTATGTCACACGAATAACGGGAGTGATCTCGAGGATGACCCCACACACATACATGATGGTAGGGACTTTTAATTCTCGCGAGACCCACTCATTCTATGTGAGGGCACGGTCATCCTTGTGATCACTCCCGCGGATTGAGTGGCTTAACTCAATAAATTTAGTCATTATCTAGTATAGCATACTAAAGCAAAATAAAAAAAATAAAAAATTATTATTATTATTGTACAGTGCTATCAAATTCTTGTGACTAAACACGATGAAAAACAAGTAGTCCGTGTTAAACCACGTTTATTTATGTCCAATTTATTTATGGCTAAATTACCACTTTATTAATACCCTCAATTAAAGTACCTAATATAGGCGCAACCGCTTACTTTTGAAACAATCAGAGGGCAGTTACGTAATATCACCCAATTCCAAGGACCTATATAATCTGCACTCACACGTTCAGTCTATCGGACATCACCCCCACGCGCTGGTAAATGAAATTCCTGAAATCTCCAGTGAGATTCATCAGTTTTTAATCTCTTCAATTCGGGCATTTCATACACAGAAACAGTCTCATATTGATTTAACGTTTTTTCTCTTCTTCAAATCTGATCTCTTGAATCAGTGCACACATTTATAGATACAGATTATAATTATACGCACATATATGGCTTCGGAGTTGATATTCAGAGGGCACGAGTCACCGACGGTGACGGAGGCGTACTCACCGAAGCCGCCAAAGCCATGGTTGAGTGTGATTCGTCCGGTTCGGTACATGCTCCGTGAGCAGCGACTCGTATTTGTTTTCGTTGGTATTGCTATCGCCACCCTCGTCTTCACCCTCCTCCCCTCCTCCCATACCCCAGCTTCCGTCTCCAACTCGGTTTTCTCCTCCGAGTTGACTCAGCCTCAAAGGCTCATCAGCCATCCCACCGGGTTCGGAATCGGGTCGTCCTTCAATTCAGGCGGAAAAATACCTCTAGGCCTGAAAAGGAAGGGTTTGAGAATCGTGGTGACCGGTGGGGCAGGGTTTGTTGGAAGCCATTTGGTTGACCGTCTAATTAGCAGAGGCGACAGCGTGATCGTGGTTGATAATTTCTTCACCGGAAGGAAAGAGAACGTCATGCATCATTTTGGAAACCCTAGGTTCGAACTCATTCGACACGACGTCGTTGAGCCACTTCTATTGGAGGTCGATCAGATCTATCACCTCGCTTGCCCTGCCTCTCCTGTTCATTACAAGCACAACCCTGTCAAGACTATTATATCCTTCACTACGATTATTAATTTTCCCAAATTTAACTCTTATTTATTTATTATTATTATTATTATTATTTCACGCAAAATTATGGCGTTTAATCATCAGTTTATCCTTGATTTCGTGTTCTATACAAGACAAATGTAGTAGGGACATTGAACATGCTGGGTTTGGCAAAGAGAGTGGGTGCGCGGTTTTTGCTAACGAGCACCAGTGAAGTGTACGGCGATCCACTGCAACATCCACAAGTCGAAACTTACTGGGGCAACGTCAATCCAATCGGTAAGTAATCTGTTCATTTGTCTCAGGTTTTCCATTATAAGCAAGCACATTTGCTTAGGTTCATACCGTCTGAATATGAATTCACTGGACTAATATCGGTCAGTGCGGATCATGTTAGCCTTGCTTTGTAGCTCATGCCTAACGTGAGCCATACGGATTTGTCGCGAACCGATTCGTACGTTCATTGGCTATAAATTTTCAATTCAAAGCTTCGCGCCACGTGTTTTTTGATGATGGGTCGAAGTACAATTACCTTTTCAATCCTAGATCCAAAAAAATTTATTGAAGGTCACCCAACTTACAGGGTTTTCTCATGTTGGTCACCTAAATTTAATATATTTCAATTTGATACTCAACTTTTATTTTGTTTCAATTTAACAATGCCCCGTTTTGCCCCCATTATCTGAAAATGAAAATGGGAGGAATAATATTTTTTAAAAAAATGAGTGGTTGAAAAAGAAGGAAATTTTTTTGATTTACGTGTAATATTATTTTATTGAAAATTGTGTGGTTGAGAATGGGAGAGAGAAAAATAGAATGTAATATAATTAAATTTAATGGAGATCAACAGTCTGGATGATATTTATAGAAATTTTCCCCAATTTGACGAGTCAATTCCTAATTCTGGATCCACCCATCTAAAAGTCAAGGCATTTGGTATGAGTCGAAGTATTTTAATTGATCTTTGATTACCTATCTATAATAGTACTGAAAAAAAAAAGTGGGTTAGCTTGAGGGCAAAGTTGTCATTACAGAAAATTGGACCATGTAACGTAAACAAAACTGGAAACTGAGATCTGGCAATATTAGTTGGAATTTTTGTACGTTACTGACAAGAAAACGTTATTGGTCGGCAACAGGTGTTCGAAGCTGCTACGATGAGGGGAAACGTACCGCTGAAACGTTGACAATGGATTATCACAGAGGTGCTGGCGTCGAGGTCAGTTTAAATATGCTTTTCTTTCTTTTTCTCTCTCATTTTTATTAAAAAAAAAATTGTTATTAAGACACTTTTTTTTTTTTATTACTTAAATGAGTACTATTTTGTTACCAAGAAGGTGTTTGGTAGGAATTAAAATTACATTTTTTTAGTAAATTGTAATAGAAAATTTTGAAATGTGGGGTTGAAAAGTTGTGAAACTCATAAAAAATGTAATTAATATTGATTGTTTGACTTTGATTTAGATTAAAATAAGATTTTAATTCAAACCAAACAGACTCCAAATTTTGTTCTTGTATAAATTTTCCATTATTGACATGTTTGGCAGTGTAGGCCCCATTTGGTCTCCATTAAATTAAATTTCATTTTTCTCTCTTATATTTTCAATCAAACAATCTTTTATAAAATTATATTATACGTAAATCGAAAACTTTTCCTTATTTTTCAACTACTCATTCTTCAAAAAATTATAATTCCACCTATTTTAATTTGAAAAAATGGAGGCCAAACGGGGGATAGATTGAACATTACTAAAAAGGGGGGAAAAAATGTTAAAAATTTTCTTCCTGTCTGATATTGAAGAAGATTTGTATGCCAAATATATATTACTAATCCTTTGTCTATCTTTGTCTTCCTAATCAATAATCATCCGCTCATTTCTGAACAAAGCCTGAGCCTGAATACTTCATATTTTAGTCCAACCAAGCCACAAGCATAAATTATTCTAATTGATAAAAATAATGTGAACCACGATGTTGTGATATGTTACTATGGCAGACTCAGGCAGAGGATCGAACAAAAATTGAGCTGGTTCAAAATTCTAAGACCACCTCAATTTAGCTAGTATCTCCTTGCGAATGTTTTGAAGACTTTTTGGATGAAGGCCACTTTCGATTTTTTAGAAATGATCTCGAAAACTGGCCCTGTTTGTACAAAATTTTGTTAAAAACAATGGTTTTCATGTTTGCGACAAAATAGCTCTTCCATCTCTGATATCTGGTAAAATTCAACTATAATCATAGTATGAATTGCATTATTTTCGGTGGCGAGTTTTAAAACATTATTGTCGCAGGTGAGAATTGCTAGGATCTTTAACACCTATGGACCTCGGATGTGCATTGATGATGGTCGTGTTGTTAGTAACTTTGTGGCTCAGGTACATATTTCAGATAATTGTATTTATGTAGTCGTTTTTCTACTCTAATTTCACAGAATTAGACTTGTACAGTAACCTGGAAGATCGAGATTATATCATCCGTTTAAACAGAATTTATTTGATGTTAAATGTATCGAGTTAAGACTTAATTTGTTGTTTCTAGGCTTTGAGAAAGGAACCACTGACAGTTTATGGTGATGGGAAGCAGACAAGAAGTTTTCAATATGTTTCTGATTTGGTAAGAAGTTTCAAATGTGAATATTTATTCTCTATTTTTATTTTTATTTTCCTTTTTCCCACTTACGATGTTCAACATATTTATGCCTTAATCAACCTCTTAATTCCTTATATTATGCAACTGCATTGTGAATTGAACGAATTTATTTAATTTGAGAGAGGGTGGTGATATTATTGCGTTCAAGTTCTTGGACCTATTAATGTTGAGTAAATAGGGATGTAAAGGAAGACTGTTACGCACAGGTTTTTTCTTTGTAATTTTAAGAAAATTAACTAGAAAATTGAAGAAAACTGTCTTGTTCGGTGGTAGTTGCCCTTGGCCCTGATATATTTCGCAGCTCTAAACAATGAGTAGTAGAAAACCATTATTATTGTTCTGATTGAGGACTTTACGCTTCTAAAATTTTGCTAATATATTTGCTGATTCAACTTGTCGACAATGCTCATAAATTATTATACATAAAACGGCTTGTAGTAGTTACTTGTAATTTGTGTTTGATTGTAAAGGTTGAGGGCCTGATGCGGTTGATGGAAGGAGAACATGTAGGACCTTTCAATCTTGGAAACCCTGGTGAATTCACTATGCTTGAACTTGCACAGGTATGCCATGCTTCTATTTCCTGACGTTGTGTAGAATTATGACATCGATATTAGTTAAAAAAACACTCCTGCCAGCTTTTCACGTACTTGGCAACCTACTCTTTTGCGAAGAGTTTTTCAGGGAAGTGGAAACTATCATTTAGACATCATGGTCGAGTAGTTTTAACTCATACTAGGTCGTAAGGGCGTTGGAGAATTGTTTTGCTTTCCTTACCTTAAAACATTGAATTTAAAAGGTTAATATACTCCTCGACGGTTGATGAAGCTAGTATGAAAAATTAAGGTTTTAGCTTTATAACACAAATGGTCAAGTTTTTCTCGTAGGAGACTCCAAAATCATTTTCCATTATCTACTCTTAGGTACACTGAACTAGACACAACTTCTCTTTCCTTAATCATGTCTCTCAAGATCATCTTGAACACACCTGTTATTCTGTTGAAACACAGGTGGTTCAGGAAACCATTGATGCAGATGCTAAGATAGAATTCAGGCCCAACACAGAGGATGATCCTCACAAGAGGAAGCCGGACATCTCAAAGGCCAAGGAGTTTCTCGGTTGGGAACCCAAAGTACCTCTACGGAAGGGTCTTCCGATGATGGTTTCCGACTTCCGGCAACGAATCTTTGGTGATCACGAGGAAAATGCTGCCTCGGCATAATTAAGTTTTAATATCTTTGTTTCCTATGAAGATTCTTGAATCCCAGCATTCCAACAAGGACGCAGGTGCAGTGCAGAATCATATGAGCAACACCTTACATTCTCGTGCAGGTTTTTGAGATTCTTTTAGTAATTTGTCTGAGTTTATTCTAAGTGCCGTTGGCCCTATAATCTTTTGGTAGTCTTAAATAACTTTTCACAAATTCTCGATGGATTAGCGTCTACTATGCTGGTGACCTGTAATAGGCACCCAGCAATGGAAATGAATTCATTCTATAGACATTGGCTTAGGTGTGCCTTAAAAGATTATGAATTTTATTGAATTTTGAATATAATTCACATTAATTTATAAGAATTTTATTAAAAATAACAAAATTTTAAAAGAATTTGTTGTGTGTATTTTTAAGTTTAAAAATCATCTAAATTTCTTGAAATTCTTTCATTAAAAAAATCCTTATAAATCCATGAGGGACACCGAAAATTTTAATAGATTTCATTGAAAATCATTAAAATCTCAATGGGGGAACATTTGAATTTACAAAAAATTTTAAATTCATTAAAATCTTAGTCAAGTATATCCATGTTTAAATGTAGACTTTCAATTTCTTTAACAGTTGAATAGCAAACAGCTGTTTTAAGATTTTGTTAAATATTGATCGGAGCTTTTTAATTGCACTAAAGAACTCTAATTATTTTCTATTATAACACTTACGTCTTTAATTTGTTATTACATGTTTTTACTCAAATCTTTCATTAGTTAGTATATCTGGTCCATGTACTTCTATTTTTTGCACTTTTATGTTTGCTATTCTTTCACCTATTTAAAATATGAAAGACAAATATGTCTTTTTATGTTTCCTTTATGAACTTTTTAGGTAAAAATCATTATCAAGACGAAATGTATCAATTAATAGAAAATTGAAAACATAAGAGCAATAATAAGCAAATATTAGGGACCTTTAGTACAACTAAAAAGTGGAGAATGAAAGAAATTATGGTGACAATATAACCACTATTCAACGAATCATAATAGTCGAGGAGAGTTTCTTTGCATTGATTTGGCCCTCTCCTTCTTCTCCTCCTCATTTTTTTTCTTTTACCAAGAATCGGGCCAGTGAGAAAAAATTTCTTTGATATGGATAAAAACAAAATTGAAAGGTATTTATAAAAATATAAAATTAAAACGAATGGATTATTTTCGTAAAAGTACACTACTCGTCAAATTATTTTCCAAAGTACTCTCATTCATACACTAACTGAAAGGGCAGCAAAATGCAAAATAGAGGGCAGATCTGAGCTCTGGCGGCCGGAAAACAAAGTAATCACTGCAGACAAACGACAGTAGGAGTGGAAGCACCAGATAAACGAAGGGGTTTCTCAGTGGAAAATATGGCAAAGTGCATTCGAGTAGGTGAAGAAAAAGACGACTCAACAGTAATAAAAATTTTGTACCTTTACAAAAGGTGATTTCCTAATAAAGGACAAATAAACACAAGGAAACAATTCCCAGTAATCAACACTAACGGTACATAGTATGGTATTCAGGTTGTGTAGATAAAGATTTCAGTAATCCAATTGGTATATTCAATAGAAGAAAGCAATGTTATCTCATTTCGATTCTTGGACTACTGTTCACATTGAGTAAATGAAATAAGTTACCAGAGAACATTTCAAATAAGAAAATAAGGGATTTTCCATTATTTCTCTGCGGACTACATCGCAGAGTCATGGCACGCACCACGGCTCTTCCAGCCACAAATATATTTCATGTGCGACCTAGTTTTATGCTGCTTTTTCCCATTTAATGTCACCAGCGACGCCGTGACATTTAGTTTCTCGGGAACAAGGATAGATTGGTGAATTGATTTCATGTCTTCACAAGAAGAACGCTTGTCGAGCCATGATACAATGTCAGAGAAGACGATCTCAATGTTGCTATCTGGCTCACCGGACGTCAAACCATGCCACATCCCGGAATATAGTTTTATGGTCTTGTCTGTACTACTCGCCCTCTCGTACAATGCCCTACTCACCTCCGGGTCCGTCACTGTATCCGCTTCACCATGCAACACAAAGAATGGCAAAGTCACCTGTCGAAAAGCCACACCCAACAACCATATGATAAGAATGAGTTAAACATGAGAACTCAATCGACCATCTTCCATCGAGACATTTGAAACTTTTGATCATTTATATCACTGTTTTTTCTAAGCCATAGGAAAGATTTTGCTTCATGTTTGGCTAAGCTTAAAATGTTTACTTATAATATGAACTGTGTGATAATGACCTCTTGCAAACTCTCTTCAAGGTTCATGCTAGTTCTGAGCATTTCGAGAGCTGTCTTCAACCTTGGCTTCTCTTGGTATATCAACCGGTTGCATCGTATCTGCAGAATTATTACAGAGACACCTAAAATGGACCATTTACGAAATTCACTTCAAATTCTCCAACGTAATGATAGGCTCACCTCTTCTCGTTTAATCGGATCCTTGAAGGCCGAATCAATAACATCCTTTGTAGGAACTATCTTCCATTTCGGTATTACGTCTTCCACCCGAGTTAGAAGACTTATAACCAGGGGGTGTGGCTTCACCTTCTCAGAGATCTAATGACATGAAAAAGAAATATTAGAATCGCTTATATTCCAATTTTCTGCTCGTTCTCCATTTCAAACGAAGCCTCTTATAGAAACTTGAGCACTTGTGTCAGGACAAAAAAACTTCATCGAAATGAAAGAAACTCAAATCTTGTTTATTATATTGTCGACTCCTACCTAATATAGTGTAAACGTGTTCTTCAAGTCTAACACCATACTCGTCCACCCAACTCTAATAATCAAATAAAGAACATTCAATTACATCCTTACGACCTTACACATCGGAGCAACAAGAACAGCGCCATGCCAGAAAGCAGGATCTTTTTTGTGTATTAACAGAGACACTGCTCCTCCCATTGACTCCCCATATAAAAATCTTCTTTTTCCCATGTATTCTTCCTGCCCTGAATCCATTGAAAGTAAATCCTTTTGAGTAAAGCTATAACCAAATGCATTGTTAAGCATTACAAGTGTGCACAGAGCAATTTTTTTAGGCCAACTAATTGAGTTCTTGTGCAACATAATTGATAGCTTGAGCATAACAACACGGTCGAGTAGATCAAATTAAATTCTTTAGTACGTTGATTTCTTAAATAATTGAATTAAAAAAAAAAACGAGGTCCCATTTCGAGCAAGATCAAAATGATACTAGAGAATTAATTAATTGTCCATCCCTCCAGCAATCAGCATCTTAGATTAGGAATTTAGGATAATGGATTTGTAAATTATTTAAACTATTGTTAAATACAAATGATTCCTCTAGAAAGTTTAAGGCTGTACTGAAAAATCAACGCAAGGGCAGAGTTGGAGAGTTTGGTAACTTACCACAAATAGATTTGAAATGGTCACTGCAGTCATTGACAATGTTGTCAAATCTTTTGATGTAACATCGAGCACCCATCGACCGCCCGTGGCCTTCATAATCCATACCAAACACGGCATATCCTTGACTAGCCAGCCTTGTCCCGCAGCCTAACCAAAATCCATTTAAGCAGTGCTAAGAACTCAAATTTGGTTTAGCCGACTACTAATAACACGTAGGCTTACTTGCTTAAGCGGCATGATTATTGTTATTTATGATGATTGCTACGTGATCAAAGTCAATTAATCATATTTTGGTAATGATAGGGACATGTGACCAGTTCAGGCCTAACTATTAGTTGCCTGTTAACCTAATTAACCAAACTAAGCTACCCTGCATAATATTTTCTGGGTAAGAATTTGACCTTGTACCAACAATTCTTTATTTCTTGTTCAGTTATATGTGTGGACATGCAGTTTCTTTGGTTGGGTGAACTGCTTAGTATTGGATGGTATAAAAGAAGATAAAGAATCAAAAAATTTTGTCCGCTGTACGATTGTCATAATGCCTACTCGAATCCAATTCGGACAGTGCCTAACAAAACTTGGAGAAATTCAACTCTACGGGAATTTCAACTCCCAAACCCCAAAATATTTCCACAAAAAGGGGGGAAAAACCATAGAAAAGAATAATACTGGATAGAAGATTATAAGATCCATGTTTAAATGTAGACTTTCAATTTCTTTAACAGTTGAATAGCAAACAGCTGTTTTAAGATTTTGTTAAATATTGATCGGAGCTTTTTAATTGCACTAAAGAACTCTAATTATTTTCTATTATAGCACTTACGTCTTTAATTTGTTATTACATGTTTTTACTCAAATCTTTCATTAGTTAGTATATCTGGTCCATGTACTTCTATTTTTTGCACTTTTATGTTTGCTATTCTTTCACCTGTTTAAAATATGAAAGACAAATATGTCTTTTTATGTTTCCTTTATGAACTTTTTAGGTAAAAATCATTATCAAGACGAAATGTATCAATTAATAGAAAATTGAAAACATAAGAGCAATAATAAGCAAATATTAGGGACCTTTAGTACAACTAAAAAGTGGAGAATGAAAGAAATTATGGTGACAATATAACCACTATTCAACGAATCATAATAGTCGAGGAGAGTTTCTTTGCATTGATTTGGCCCTCTCCTTCTTCTCCTCCTCATTTTTTTTCTTTTACCAAGAATCGGGCCAGTGAGAAAAAATTTCTTTGATATGGATAAAAACAAAATTGAAAGGTATTTATAAAAATATAAAATTAAAACGAATGGATTATTTTCGTAAAAGTACACTACTCGTCAAATTATTTTCCAAAGTACTCTCATTCATACACTAACTGAAAGGGCAGCAAAATGCAAAATAGAGGGCAGATCTGAGCTCTGGCGGCCGGAAAACAAAGTAATCACTGCAGACAAACGACAGTAGGAGTGGAAGCACCAGATAAACGAAGGGGTTTCTCAGTGGAAAATATGGCAAAGTGCATTCGAGTAGGTGAAGAAAAAGACGACTCAACAGTAATAAAAATTTTGTACCTTTACAAAAGGTGACTTCCTAATAAAGGACAAATAAACACAAGGAAACAATTCCCAGTAATCAACACTAACGGTACATAGTATGGTATTCAGGTTGTGTAGATAAAGATTTCAGTAATCCAATTGGTATATTCAATAGAAGAAAGCAATGTTATCTCATTTCGATTCTTGGACTACTGTTCACATTGAGTAAATGAAATAAGTTACCAGAGAACATTTCAAATAAGAAAATAAGGGATTTTCCATTATTTCTCTGCGGACTACATCGCAGAGTCATGGCACGCACCACGGCTCTTCCAGCCACAAATATATTTCATGTGCGACCTAGTTTTATGCTGCTTTTTCCCATTTAATGTCACCAGCGACGCCGTGACATTTAGTTTCTCGGGAACAAGGATAGATTGGTGAATTGATTTCATGTCTTCACAAGAAGAACGCTTGTCGAGCCATGATACAATGTCAGAGAAGACAATCTCAATGTTGCTATCTGGCTCACCGGACGTCAAACCATGCCACATCCCGGAATATAGTTTTATGGTCTTGTCTGTACTACTCGCCCTCTCGTACAATGCCCTACTCACCTCCGGGTCCGTCACTGTATCCGCTTCACCATGCAACACAAAGAATGGCAAAGTCACCTGTCGAAAAGCCACACCCAACAACCATATGATAAGAATGAGTTAAACATGAGAACTCAATCGACCATCTTCCATCGAGACATTTGAAACTTTTGATCATTTATATCACTGTTTTTTCTAAGCCATAGGAAAGATTTTGCTTCATGTTTGGCTAAGCTTAAAATGTTTACTTATAATATGAACTGTGTGATAATGACCTCTTGCAAACTCTCTTCAAGGTTCATGCTAGTTCTGAGCATTTCGAGAGCTGTCTTCAACCTTGGCTTCTCTTGGTATATCAACCGGTTGCATCGTATCTGCAGAATTATTACAGAGACACCTAAAATGGACCATTTACGAAATTCACTTCAAATTCTCCAACGTAATGATAGGCTCACCTCTTCTCGTTTAATCGGATCCTTGAAGGCCGAATCAATAACATCCTTTGTAGGAACTATCTTCCATTTCGGTATTACGTCTTCCACCCGAGTTAGAAGACTTATAACCAGGGGGTGTGGCTTCACCTTCTCAGAGATCTAATGACATGAAAAAGAAATATTAGAATCGCTTATATTCCAATTTTCTGCTCGTTCTCCATTTCAAACGAAGCCTCTTATAGAAACTTGAGCACTTGTGTCAGGACAAAAAAACTTCATCGAAATGAAAGAAACTCAAATCTTGTTTATTATATTGTCGACTCCTACCTAATATAGTGTAAACGTGTTCTTCAAGTCTAACACCATACTCGTCCACCCAACTCTAATAATCAAATAAAGAACATTCAATTACATCCTTACGACCTTACACATCGGAGCAACAAGAACAGCGCCATGCCAGAAAGCAGGATCTTTTTTGTGTATTAACAGAGACACTGCTCCTCCCATTGACTCCCCATATAAAAATCTTCTTTTTCCCATGTATTCTTCCTGCCCTGAATCCATTGAAAGTAAATCCTTTTGAGTAAAGCTATAACCAAATGCATTGTTAAGCATTACAAGTGTGCACAGAGCAATTTTTTTAGGCCAACTAATTGAGTTCTTGTGCAACATAATTGATAGCTTGAGCATAACAACACGGTCGAGTAGATCAAATTAAATTCTTTAGTACGTTGATTTCTTAAATAATTGAATTAAAAAAAAAAACGAGGTCCCATTTCGAGCAAGATCAAAATGATACTAGAGAATTAATTAATTGTCCATCCCTCCAGCAATCAGCATCTTAGATTAGGAATTTAGGATAATGGATTTGTAAATTATTTAAACTATTGTTAAATACAAATGATTCCTCTAGAAAGTTTAAGGCTGTACTGAAAAATCAACGCAAGGGCAGAGTTGGAGAGTTTGGTAACTTACCACAAATAGATTTGAAATGGTCACTGCAGTCATTGACAATGTTGTCAAATCTTTTGATGTAACATCGAGCACCCATCGACCGCCCGTGGCCTTCATAATCCATACCAAACACGGCATATCCTTGACTAGCCAGCCTTGTCCCGCAGCCTAACCAAAATCCATTTAAGCAGTGCTAAGAACTCAAATTTGGTTTAGCCGACTACTAATAACACGTAGGCTTACTTGCTTAAGCGGCATGATTATTGTTATTTATGATGATTGCTACGTGATCAAAGTCAATTAATCATATTTTGGTAATGATAGGGACATGTGACCAGTTCAGGCCTAACTATTAGTTGCCTGTTAACCTAATTAACCAAACTAAGCTACCCTGCATAATATTTTCTGGGTAAGAATTTGACCTTGTACCAACAATTCTTTATTTCTTGTTCAGTTATATGTGTGCACATGCAGTTTCTTTGGTAGGGTGAACTGCTTAGTATTGGATGGTATAAAAGAAGATAAAGAATCAAAAAATTTTGTCCACTGTACGATTGTCATAATGCCTACTCGAATCCAATTCGGACAGTGCCTAACAAAACTTGGAGAAATTCAACTCTACGGGAATTTCAACTCCCAAACCCCAAAATATGTCCACAAAAAGGGGGAAAAAACCATAGAAAAGAATAATACTGGATAGAAGATTATAAGAAGGCATAGGTCTCCATATTTTGGTTGGTTGGTATGAAGTCACGGGTCATATATAGTAAAGCAAGAAAAAGGGCAACAAGGCATGGGCATACACAATCCTCACTGTACACCCACATCATATTTTCACTCGGATGTTTGTAAAGGTAGATTAGACTGAGCATGCTATGTATCTTTACTAGAGATAACGTGATATTTAATGATAAGCTTAGTAAAGTAAATCTCGTATTCATGCAATTAATTGGCCTTAATGCCACATCATATGGAGATTATAACATTATGCTATTAGACTGCAGTCGACAATATTATGCTCATGTTTGTCTACCATTAAAACAATTTTTTTTTTCTCAAATTCATTTTTAATCACACGTTCATACTAGAATATTTTGCACGAAAATCTTTTTTTTTTTTTACATTTTAACCACACATTTTCAAAATAATTGCAATTTCAAAACTCATTTTCTCAAAAAAAATAATAATAATAAATAAAAATAAAAATAAAAATTCTAAACTCATTTTCTCAAAAAAAAAAAAAAAAACTCATAAAAATAGTTGTCGAACAGGGGTTAAATAAGACAAATTATTACCTAATACCGCTTACCAAGACCTCCGTAGATAGTTCCACGAATGAATAGATACGTTCCTTCACCACTTCGTAAAAAAATAGTCTTAAGGTATGAATATGTTGAAAATATTACCTCTTCACAAAATCATCTTTTCACAATTCCAGATTCAAGATTTCAGTAACCGCTCTACTTTTTCAATAAATACAGTATTAATTAATGAAGAAAAAGAAATGCATTCATGACCTGTATATGTATGTGCAGAAACAGATAACGGCATTAAATCCAATTAATATAATAAGAAATTAAATAGAGGAGAAAAGTAGGACGCATCACATGGGAAAACACTTATTACCTTTCATGAAATTACTGCATTCCATGCCATAACCTGCAACCTCATTAAGCAATCTTCAATCAGAGAGAGAGAAAATTATACGCAGAAACATCTCTGTGTGTGTGTGTGTGTGAGAGAGAGAGAGAGACCATGACACAGAAAAACAAGGGCCTTTGGAGATGAAAAAGGCAACCATCTGCAAGTGAAAATCTGCACTCCTCTGGAATTATATATGTATTCCTGAACCCAAAACCAAACAACCCAATAGAAAAAAAAATACCATTCTCAAGTTCATAAATCCAAAAATAATAATGTAGTGGATTACAAAATGGAATAACAAAAATGAAATGTTAAAGTAAATGGTCACAGGCTAAAGAAAACCCACCTCATGATATTCAACGTCCATGTTTAATTAGAGGAAGTAAAGAAATCCAAGCTAAGAAATGGGATTTAACATACACACTTTGTGAGCTATATACTGGATCTGCAGGCAGGAGCAGGAAAATATAGAGAAAAAATATATGAATGTGAGAGAGTTATATAGATTAGAAAATGAAGGTTGGATTTGTTTGACTCTGGTTTTTTGGCTTCGGATTTCTTCCTTTGACGTGACAAGAAGATTGCGAAATTTTGCTGAGGTTTACAGGTAGACTACGAAGCCAATGTTTGACTTTTTTTTTCACAAATAGACCTCATTTTTCTCGTAACGATTTAGGAGTGATTTTGAAAATTGATTTTTTGACTGTTAAAGATAATGTGGATCCTACTTGTGAAAGAAGAATTCAAAAATGACGGTTGAAATAGTACACTAACAGTCAAAAAATTAATTTTAATTAGCTTTTAAACTCTACCAAACAAGCTCTTAGGCCGACCCCTCTCACTCTTTATATATATATATATATATATATAGGAGTGATTTTGAGAATTGATTTTTGACTGTTAAAGATAATGTGGGTCCTACTTGTGAAAGAAGAATTCAAAAATGATGGTTGAAATAGTACACTAACGGTCAAAAAATTAATTTTAATTAGCTTTTAAGCTCTACCAAACAAGCTCTTAGACCGGCCCCTCTCACTCTTTATATATATATAGTCGCTATCATGTGAATTGCATTAATTTTGTATTTATCGTATTTTTATTAGTGTATGAATTTTAATTTTTTGAAAAGTTTTTGAAGCAGTATCCAAGAATATTTCCATGATATAAGAAAATAATTGTAAATTATTTTTACAATTGCATAGCAATATGTTATCTAAAAAAAATGCTTGTATATTTCATATTTGAATAAGAAATACACAAACTATTTTGCTTCTATTCTTTGATAGTGTTGATATAATTGAATTGAATGTGAAAATTATATTTCTAAATTTTGTGTAATTCAATATTGTAAAATTGAAAAAAAAAATTTCTGCACAGTGCGGAGTAAAAATATAAAAAGGTGCAAAAAGAGAAAAACATCTCTGCACAGTGTGGAGTAAAAAGAAAAAAATTCATTCGCACAGTGTGGAGAAATGACAAACCAACTTTTCGCACAGTACGGAGAGCAAAAAAAACTTTCCGCACTGTGTGAAGAGAGTTCATTCTCTTCGCACAGTGCAGAGTTGATCCGCACCATGGCAAAACCTTTGTATAGTGCGGAAAGAAAAAAAACTCTCCGCACAGTGCGTAGAGAGTTGAACCATGTGCGAAGTAAAAAAAAAGTGCGGAGAGAAAAAAAATCTCCGCACAGTATGGAGAGAGTTGAACCACGTGTGGAGAGTTGGCAAACTCTTCGCATAGTGTGGAGTAAAAAACAACTCTCAACACAGTACGGAGAGATGACAAACTAGCTCTCCGCACAGTACAGAGAAAAAAAACTCTCAGCACAGTGCGGAGAATTGTTTTCAAATTCCTTAATTACAAGTCAAATTTCAAGATTGTAAATTTTTCGTATATTCAACGAAACAGAATCGAAAAAATGGCTCAAAATCAATTATGTCTTCTTTAAATTCCAGTCACAGCTCAATTTTTGAGTACGCAAATCATATTTACGGTATTGGAAATGAACTTTCTAGTGATTCATACAATGAAACAATATGTGATTTGTGCAAAGAAGGGGATATTGATAGTACCATGGCATTGCTTTCACAAATGAAGGTTTTAGGATACTACCCAAATTCAATATTTTACTCTTACTTGATAATAGCTATTGGACATTAGAAGCGGATACTATTTTAAATGAAATTATACTTTCGGGTTGTAGGTCAGGAATTAAAATGTTCAATGCATTGATCAAAAGTTGTTTGAGAAAATACTTCTTGGAACTTGCAGATAAAGTCCCAAGAGTTTTTGTTTTTCTCTTCACATTGTACGGAGAGATAGTTTACCATATCTTCGCACTTTGCGGAGTCTTTTTTTTTTTTTTTTACTTATGTGCGTAGAATTTATTTTATTTTATTTTTATTTTTTTGTCTTGTGAAGTTTATATATACTAAAATTATTATTATTTTTTAATGTTGTTGGCACGATGCATGTGTGGAAGAATATTTGTTAATCATCATAAATAAAATTCTTCATAAAATGCAAAAAATAAAAATGCATAATAAATTTTCTTATGATGCTAATAAAATCACAACAAATTTTTTTTACAAATAATATAAAAAAAATATTTTTATCTTCAACAAAAAAACACATTTAAAAATTAACAATTTCATAATCAATTTTTTTTTAATTCTTGAAAATACAATTATAAAAAATGAAACAATATTAAATTACAACGTTTAATACCTAAGAAATTCAATATTAAATAAATTTTATACATGTATAACAAATTATAAATCCATATCCGCCTATCGTATTTGCAAACAACATACCGTATTTTCACCTTACCGTATATGTTGTCTACCGTATTTGCAAACTTATCGTATTTTCACCTTACTGTATTTGCAGCGTAACGTATATGCTGCCACCGAATTTGCAACTTATGGTATATGCTGTCTACCGTATTTGCAGCTTATTGTATTTTTATATACCAATTTTTGCACTTACAAATACCGAGAATGCAGAACACCATATATTCACTTATATATATATATAAAGCACAAAATATAAATGCATATGAATATGGTGCTCAATCTTCAATTTTTCAATATTGAATTACACAAAATTTAGAAATATAATATTCACATTCAACTCAATCATATCAACACTATCAAAGAATACAAGCAAAATAATTTGTATAATCTTGTATATTTTTTATTCAAGTATAAAATAAACAAGTATATTTTCTAGATGACACAATACTATTATACAATTGTAAAAATAATTTGCAATTATTTTCTCATATCATAGAAATATTTCTAGATATTACTTCAAAAATTTTCCAAAAAACTAAAATTCATACACTAATAAAAGTACGATAAATGTAAAATTCACGCAACGCAGACAGTCACTGTACGGAGATTTTTTTTTTAACTTCGCACTGTACGAAAAATGTTTTGCCATGGTGTTTGCCATCTCTCTGCACCGTGCGGAGAGATTTTTTTTTACTTCGCACTGTACGGAGAGTTTGCCAACTCTCCGTATATGGTTTGTCATCTCTCCGTCCTATGCAGAGAGTTTTTTTCTTCATTTTTTACTCCGCACATGGTTTACCATCGCGGAGAGTTTATTTTTATTTGTTTTAAAGTTCATGTGCGAGTTTTTTTTTTATTTTTTGGTTTATGGTAGTTTATATTTACTAAAATTATTATTTTTTAATGTTAATGACATGATGTGTGGAAGAACATTTGTTTGACATAAACAAAATGAAAAATAAAAAATGACAACATGCATAGCAAAATCGGATTAATTTACTATTACATGAATAGTAGACCCTCCTTCCCATTTTTATTAGAAGTTAGATATACAAGCTCCCAGGGCACATCTCCAAGTGGTAAAAGGGGAGGGTGGAGAAATCCAACTTTACTTGAGACTGCCGCGTCAAGGGTTCGAATCCTGAAATATGGATTTGACTCTTGGGTAAGTACAAGTGTACAAGCAACTTTCCATCTTGTATCTTTGGAGGCATAACCTGCGATTTACCTCCCTCACGATACTCCAGGATAAGGGCGGTGGAGGACTCTTAAGGTTGTGATTCAACCTTTTTTTAGAAGTTAGATATACAAGTAAATAGCACAAAACGTCTCTATCTTTCAATTTATTGTGAAAAACATCATCACCTTTCATTTTTGAACATTTTTGCCCTGATTTTCACATTTTATTATGTAGAAGGTCATTTTAAATTTTTCATCCATTTTGACTATTTTACTCTCCCGTTCAAATGAAATAAAAATAAATAAAATAAAGAACTAATTGTAATCATAGTTTCAAAATTTCAAAAAATTACAAATCAATCATTATATTCTTATCTTGACCTCTTGCTTTGTATCCACAGGCAGAGACAAACAAACTTTCAAACTTTGAATATTTAACAGTTTTAGTGAAATTTTCACGTATAAATGCATATTCAAACCCTGAATCTGTAAAATTTGATTTCCAATTTTAAGCTTTTTTTAGTTGCTAGCAAGTTTAACCCATCCTGCCACAAGAAAGGGGGGAAAGTAAAGAAAAATCCATAGTCCAGCACCTTCATCACCCCATTTCACGTCTATATCTTTTCTACTTTACACAATTGTATACAAATATACTTTTATATAATGGGAATTTGGTATTTATATTGACAGAGAAAGGAAGGAGATTATGAAAAATAGAAGCTATGGAAAAGTGTCTGCAAAATGGGTCCCAATTTTCTCTCTCTGTTTATGTTTTCTTGGCATGTTTTTCGCTGCCAAGTACGTTTAGTTCAAGATTTTATTATTATTATTATTTGGATTTTGAACAAGAGCTGCTGATTGTGTTTGAGGATTGCACTACCAAGAAGAAGGTTTGTTTTTATGACTAAAAAAAGCTGTAAATTGGAAGTCAGGTTTTTTAAATTGAGGGTTTTGAATATGCATTTATGTGTGGAAATTTCACTAAAAATGTTAAGAGATTCAAAATTTGAAAGTTTGTTTGTTTCTAGCTGTGGACAGAAAGTTGGAGGTCAAGATAAGAACATAATGAATGATTTGTAGTTTTTTGAAATTTTGGGACTATGATTGCAATGAGTTCTATATTTTTCTTTTCCTTTTGTTTTATTTAAATAGGAGGTAAAATCGTCGAAAATTGATAAAAATGACCTACACAGTGAAAATAAAAATAAGGGCGAAAATGCAAAAAAAATAAAAGATATGGACGTTTTCAACAATAATTTTGAAAGGTAGTGACGTTTTGTGCTATTTACCCATATAAATACGTATACACCTCTATATATTTTTATCTAGAGATAAATATATTAAGTCCAAGTTTCGTGGGGATTAAAATCAATTTTTTAGTAAATTTTAATAAAACTTCTTGAAATATGTGGTTGAAATATTGTGAATTCAATAAAATATATTGTTAAAATTAATTATTGACTCTAATTTTGATGAAAATCTCTATCGAACAAATATTATTGTAATCTGACTAATGGACAGGTGTCTAGAGACCATTGGTGGACCCGAATCATCGGGTTTACATAGAGAAAAAGCCCAATGTGTGGTTTTTTTTTTTTTTGGATCCAAAGA